CTACTCGCTCACGTTGATACAGTCATTTACGTCTGGTTTACAACAAATGAGTTCTTCCTCGTATCGATAATGGAGTCAGAGAGGACATGTCGAAACGAAAGTGTTGACGAGCGGCATGGGTCCCAGTTCGTTTTGTGACCAAAATATTAGTTTCTTTGAGCTGCGATGCAATTTACTCACCGTGTGACGAAAAGGACATCGACACGGACTCATTCCCAAGGCCATGACCTGGCAAAGCTATCCGTTTGACTTCGACGACATTTTGAGAAAAGCAGACGCTTGTGAATAGGGGTCAAAGGGGTGTACCGGGTACCCGGGTACCCGACCGTTAATTTCAGGTACCGTTAGTAAAAGGGTACCCGTTTGGATTTTCATGAAGCAGTCAGTACGGAGCAACACTGCTGGGATCGTGTATTCCAGGCGGGAGTCAATTATTTACAACTTCATGCTTGATGTCTGCATTGTTGTTGCATTTTCGCAACTAGTAGATCTACTCCTGCGACTATCAGACCCCAATCGATTTGCGAATCACAATGTGATATCAAAATGCAACCCGAGAACAGATGAATTAAACTCTTGATTTATGTGAAAATTGCACAAAAAAGTATACATGGCTGCTAAAGGGTACCCGTTAACCCGCCCTTTAAGAAAATTACCCGTCCGTTAGTTAAAGGTACACCCGTTTGACCCCTACTTGTGAACGCTGATAGAAGACGGCGCTGACTGTTAAATTCAAATAAATTGGCGATCTTGAAATACAAAAATAAATCTCAAAAAGCTACAGCGCGATGACTTCCATATAATTCACTCACACCATTGCAGTGTTGTGAGTGTGTTCACATGGCGTGAGCCAGTCAAGTGTCAGTCAGTTCAGCAGGAAGCGCGAGCTCCAACAACAAGTCGTTTGGTGCAGCCATCTTCTTTGTCTTGTACAGTACCAGCTTGATCACCAAAACAATGAAAACAAGTTTTACTTGAGGATAGGTTGGGATTTGAACTCACAACTTAATGGTCAGCAGACAGCATTCATAACCACAAGGCCAAAAAGGAAAGGATAAATCGTGGGTTTTGATAAAAAATCGATACTGGCTTCCTCGGCAAATTGTAAACCATGGGAAAAGGCAGGAAACCTGGCCGAAATTCTAACCCCTAACGGTTGGTCCAATTGTTCCGAAACCTTCACAGAACAATTTGCCGTGTCCTAACAAGCCATTCTATGTACTTTGTTGTCAAAATGTCCCTTATCTTCATACTTTTTAAGACCCAAACCTGATTGTTAATCTTTTTGAAACAGACTATAGGGCGTGGTGTAAAACCTCACGATTGGAAATTGTCTGCACATACCACTGCACCATATGGCGCACGCACGCACGCATGCGCGTGCACACACACACACACTCACACACACTCTATCTCTCTCTCACACACACACACACACAGCAGGAGCGTCGGAAGGTAATTTAGTGTGGTACGGTCAGCCATCTGAAGTACAATTTACTTGTGGGGGAGGGTGGCCGAGCCGAAATTTTGGAAAATTAGAGCCCAAATCAATGCATTATCTTGATCCACGAGTGCTTCGGGCAAATAGTGGTACGGTCAGTACCGTAGTGACCGTACCATGTGCGACACCGCTGCACACACACACACACACACACACACACACACACACACACACACACACACACACACACACACACACACACACACACACACACACATACACACACAGGCACACACGCACGCGCACACGCATGCATGCACACACACACACAAGCACACACACACACACACACATGCACACACACAAACACACACGCACACACACACGCACACCTTTGACCTTGACCTTTGACGCCCATCGCCGGAGGCGATGATAGCAATGCTACAGCAGAAGCCATAGCAATTTGTGCTGGGATTGCATCGTTCAACAGCTTGCAAGGCTGAAGAATTGACCGTCACACGCACACACACACACACGCACACACGCACGCACGCACGCGTGCACGCGCATGCACACACACATGCACACATACACACACACACACACACACACACACACAAACACACACACACACACACATATACACACACACAAACACATACACACACACACACACACATACACACACACACACACAAACACACACACACACACACAAACACACACACACACAAACACACACACACACACACACACACACACACACACACACACATACACACACACACACACACACACACACACACTCATACCCATACATGCCCATTGCGGAAGTGATGATAGTGAACAGCTATGTTAGACATAGCAACTTGTGCTGGAATTACACCATTCAACAGCTTGCAAGGCTGATGAATTCACCGACACTAATTTTTGGCCTGGTATCCACCACACAGCTGTTTTTGAAATGGCTTTTTCTGGCCAGAGAATCCCTATTTTTCATTTTTCTTTTTCTTTTTTTTTACAGACACCACACGACATAGTCGTGCATACACTGCCTGT